TTATTCTGGTAGAGGGTTCGGAATTAATTAGGAAGCTAATTATTCAGTGAGTTTAAGTGATCGGAATGCCTAGCTGAAAACCGCTTCCGATCAGTAGTAATATTAGTGAATAATTAATATTACAACTTAATCTTTACTGAACCTTTCGGGTCACACCCAATCATGTAACCGAACCGAAACAACGAATCAATCCAAAGGATCAAATGAGTCAATAAGTTTTACGAACAAAGACGTCAAATTACGAGCTTAGAGCGTTGAAACTGAGCGTTGGACGTCAAGTCGATTTTAGGAATCGACAAAGACGAGAAAATTAATCAAATAACTTATCGTGCTAAAGTTACGAGCATAACACGAAGAAACACGTCAGATTATGAGCTTAGAGCGTCGAAGTCGCCGTCATTAAAGGAGAAGGTGGTGGAGGAAAGTAAGGATGGAGATTGCTTATTGAGAAGAGAGAAAGTAAGTTGAAATTCTAGAATTGGGTTTTCATGAAAGGGATGAACGATGAGTGTTTGGGTAGTGTCGTAGTAGGGCTTGGTTAGGTAGGGAATTTCAAATGATATGGTTTGAGTAATTATTTTGAATGAATTTATGAAGTTTTCTTAATTGTTTTAGAATTTGGACTAAATTCATATTTCAAATTCCAACTCATCCAAACACTAAAATTAACCCAATTCTAGAATTTCAATGAAACTCTTGTATCCAAACAGAGCATTAAATGATTCAAAGAAAAAGAGATGGAAGTAGTAGGTTACTCCCTCCGTTTCAGAATGATATTCCTATTTACGTAAATCGATGCAAGATTTTACCCATCTTTGACCGCAAATATCTTTATTCTAGACTAGCAAAAATTATACAAGTTAGATTTTAATAATGTACTCACCAAGACGAATCAAACTGGATTCCACTTGATTATATTTGCACTTATAGATTGAGAGAAATTTAGAAGATTCTCTCTTAATTTTTAAAAGTCAAAGATTTTAAACAAGAACATCATCGTGGTCATTGCGGAACGGAGGGAGTATTTTGTAAGGATAAGTCTTGTATGTGGCTAGCCGCACGGTGTGGCCACATTGATTTATAAGAGTAATCTTCATTTATATGTATGAGTAACCTCATTTAATCATAAGAGAAACATCATGTACTATTGTCCATAAAAGTAACCTAAATTCGTTATATGAGAAAAATTAAGTAATTTTGAAATAAGCAATTCCATTATTTGTTCATTCGAGTAATCCCTATTATTTTGTTTTAAAAAATGAAAGAATGATTCAATTTAATAAAAAAAAAGTAACCCTTTTTTTTAGCATTTAGTTAACCTACATACATTAAGGTAACGCTATTTGCTCATCACCATGACCCCCGTTACTTAATTAATTGCCTTATATGTGATTATGTGAAGTGACCACATAACTACATATTTCTCCATTAAATGTTATGTGCAACTTTTGTCAAAAACGGATGATCAAAGTTATGTGTAACTTTTTATTTTTCTTTCCTATTTTAGTAAACAAAAAAAATCTTAAAAAGACTAATATACCCTTAATAAAAAAATTCATATTTGAATAATTAAGTGGAGTGGTCCCATTTTCTCTCTTCCTTTTTTTTCAAATAGGGTGTTCCTATTTTCTTTCTTTCTCCTAAAAAATCATATTTCCCCATCTTTTTAAGTGGGGTGATCCCATTTTCTCTCTCCCCTTTTTTTTATTACTTCCCATAACACCAGCTAATCTTTGCCCCTTAAATTTTGCCTTGGCAATCGCAACCCCTTTCAAAGTTGCACATACATTTAACGGAGGTAGTATAAAATTTTACTCCCTCCGTCCCCAAATGATAGTTCCTTATGGGCAAATTTTAGTACCAAAATGTTCACCCCATTTACTTTTTCAAACAACCATTAATATTACTCCCTCCGTAATTTTTTTAAGTGTTACACTTTGACCGGCGCATAGTTTTAGGCAAGTTAATTGACTTAAATAAAATAAGAGGTAGGTGGGGTAGTTAGAGTATTAAAAAATTGTAAAAGAAAGATAATGAGGTTAATAGTTTATTGAAAAGTAATGAATGTGAGAAGAGAAATACAATAAAAAAAATAATAGTGGGTTTGGGTGGGGACCATGTGAGGAGAGAGATATAATATTTTAATGTAGTTTTTTGCCAAAAAAGAAAGTGTAACACTTATTAAAACACGGGCGGATTTGATAAGTGTAACACTTAAAAAAAACGAAGGGAGTAATTTTTTACCAAAATTCCCTCCAAATTGCAATAATGTTTGTACAACTTTAAATTTCCCATGTAAATTTTGTTTTCTCATGTATTTTTATTACTTTCTCTCTCTACTTTTTTACATACCCAATTTCAATTTACTTTTTCAATGTGTTTTTACTATTCTTATTTGTGTTTATTAATTTATGTGAAAAATGCCCATAAAGGACTATCAATAGCAGACGGAAGGATTATGATTTTGTAATATAAATATCTAGTAATGTTTCTAGAAGTTACCTTCTTAAAAATATAGTAGATAAATATCTTAAAATAATTTAGACAATATTTAAGTAAGGAACCTTATATATAATTACAGAGTCGTTTTAACGAGAGCCCTCTAAATCCCCAATCCTCAAATCTCATGCATTTAGGTTTTTTTTTTTGTTTTTTTTTTTTTTTAACACCACTCCAAAGAAAAAAAAAGCATTTAGGTTATTTATTTATTTATTTTATCCAGTAACTACCATTCCATTACTTTATTTATTTGTTTTTTAAACAAAAAAAAATTCAATAACTACCCAGCCAACTTTTTTTTGTTTGTTTGTTTGTATTTTTTCAAGGGATTGCAATAACTAATAAAAACAATTCATTTTTTCTTAAACACTACTAACATTTCACTTTGTGTTATTTTCTTTCGTGTATAATGTGTGTCGTGCATTAGCACGGATATACAGTTATTTTATCAACAATTCACCATAGAACTCAAATTCCCCAACCCTTTAATTCAAACAACTTTACTTCTCTAATCCTCAAAACAAAAATATGTACAACACGCTTTTTTGCGTAACCGGCCTCATTGAATAGTTGCTTGTAAAAGAACAAAGTAACCCCTCCTATAGCATTGAATGGAATAATCCATATGACACTAACTGAATAACCCTATAACACTGAATGAGTAACCTCTATAGCTTTGACAAAGTATCCCCCATAATAGTTTGACACATTTGCATGGCCACGCACATATAAGAGTAAGGTTTTGTTCTATTGAGTTTATGAGCAGAATAGAGCACATTAGATTGCAAAAGAGTAGAGCAGGTGACAGTAGAGTAGAGTAGGGCTCAACAAAGTATATCAGATTTTAGCAAAGTAGAGCCAGAGCAGACCATAAATAGTTCAAAATAACAGGTTCTAAGTTACTACGTCTAAATCAACTTCCAATATTTGAAATATGTTTTTTTCTTATATTATATAATTAAACTCTTTTTAATATAATATATATATCCCGTGCATTTTGCACGGGTACACTCTAGTTATCTAGAATTGCCTAGGTAAAAGTATGCATGTCAGTTAATTAGGAGCTGAGTGTGCACCGACATACGAATCTTATAAATACATATGCTATGTGTATGTATGCTGTAGTATGGAAAAATAATAGAATACTCTGTATGATCTTGCTGTTAAAAAATAGGAAATTTTTTCAGAAAAAAACCATTTATAAAAACTCTTTTGTTGGAAAAAATCTTTTTGAAATTTTTTGGCAACTAAAATCATGTTGTAAATTTTTTTTGTTGAAAACAACCTGAGATCTCTAATCACTCAATTAGCCTCTAATTTTGCATTATTCCTTCTAATTACTCATAACTCTCACTTAACTATTTAATAATTAAGTTAATTAATAAATTATTAAAAAAACAAAACAAAAACCATCCTCACCACCACCAGCCAGCCACCCTCTCCTTCTCCCCCTCTGGTGGCAGCAAGTAGCAACCCCTCCCCCATCCGCAGCTACCGCCTGGAACCCCCCACCCCCGCCGACCAACCTCCACCGTCGAACCAACCTCTTCCTTTTCCCCTTTACATCCGTCGCGACCACCCACTTAAACCCTAACCCAAAAATTCCACCCCATAGAGTGACTGTGAGGTTCAGAATAATCCTCCATCAATGTCGCCTTAATTTTTTCTCTCCTCCACTAATCTTCTTTCTCGCTTCTCTGATTTCTTCTTCGTCGTCAATCCTCGAGGTTTCTTCTCTTTCTTTCTCTTATCTCAGTGAGTTTCTCTCATTTTTTTGTTGATGAATTGCCTAAATTTGTTGTGAGATGTTGATTTTGCCATGGAATTGTTTGTCGGCAGTAGCAAATGTATGACTGGAAAAGAATGGAAGAAAAATTTTTCTGGTCGAAGCAGGGGAGCTTGGCGGGCAACAACCAAGGTCGTGAACACGGTAGTGGATTGGAGGATCACTACTACAAAAAGCGTCGAAAAATTATTTCTCGACGCTGCTAAAAAGCGTTGAAAACACGTGAGTCAAAAATTTTCAGGGACGCAAAAAAGCGTCGAGAATATTGACGTTTTTTTTGTGTCCTAACTAATATATGAAGCGTCACAAATATGTATTTCGCGCATTATCCCAAATGTGTGTAGTTTTTAGCGACGCTTTTACCGTCCATATACTTAAATTTAGCGATGCTTTTTGTTGTCTTGCATTTATTCGTGTCAGCCTTTGGTATGGCGGGAAACTCTTTAAAATTTGAAAATGTGCAAATATGTAGACATTAAAAAGCGTGTAGAATTTTTTTTTAAGCTTTTTTTTCATTTTATTAAGTTATTACCATCATACATACATTATAGTTATAAATTTATCATAAATTAAACTAATAACATAAAAAAAATTAAAATAAACAAATATTCTATATAACTAGATTTAAAAAAAATAAAAAAAATAATAATTAATCAACAATATATAATAATAAGAGTACGTAGTTAATTAATTACCAAATTTTTAAATAGAAAACATCAACACAATTAATAAAATTTTTAAAAAAATGTCGTATATCATATATATATAGTAGCTTGTCCCTAAATAAATACATCACTAATATAAGACTAAAAACCAAAATACATAGATGATGGCCTTATACACCACGTACTCCGAAAATGTCCCATTTTTTAACCCCTAATCCGTAACCCACAGGACGATCGGGAATCTCATTGCCATACATAGTTTGCTGAAATGCTTCATCTTCGAGCTCTTGTTCAGACATCTTAGGGTGCATCATCCTCAACTCTTCAACCTTAGCTTTAACATCATCCTATACCAAATTATACCACAAAATTTGCACAAAATCATACTAGAAATCTGTCACAAAACCATACCACAAAATCTTCAGTGACTGTGCTAGGAAGAAAGCTTCCGTCTTTACCCGTATGGGTTTTAATCCACAGCTCTAACAAGCTCATTTTCTGTCCATGTTCATCTTCCTATAAATAATAAAGCAATAAGAGCTTTAATATGAAAAGTCAACAATATCAACCGCATACAAAAAGACATGCTCTAAATACAATCCCAGGTAATTATAAAATGACATATATATTCCATACATAATCAGCTTGTCGGTTTGCAAAACTTTTAGAGCCAGATGTATGAAACTGATTTTGGGAGGCTCGTGCTTTTTTTTCCGCATTCTGACATATCCTGCACTCACATTCAAAGAGTATGTATTTATTATATAATTATGAATAAGATATTAAATATTGCTTCATGCACAGTAAGCTAAGTATTGAACATACTTTCCCTTTATCTGAATCCCAATATTTCACCAACTTTATCCAATTACTACTAGTAATTCCATGTGGCACATTATTGCAAATCTGATCTAATGTCTTCTATTCTGGCTTGTAATATTGTTGTTTTAGAGAGTATTTGTATTGCCTCCAACATTTATTGGCACGCTTGAGAGCTTGGTTGTCATATTCCGCACCAGGAGGAATCACAAAATGTTCCTTCAGTAAATAAAATTAGTTATAATTATAAATCAGTAAGTAATCTATAAATAATAAGATATCGACTAATTATGTATGTTTTGACAATAAAAAGGGATGGCTTAGGGACAAATATACTTACTCTTATATCTATAATTATCTTCCCTTTGAAATGCTTGTCGATTGCATGCCAATCTTTTTCCCTAACTGGGCAACGACTTTCCATGTTTGCAATCATACTAATGAATTTAACCAAAATATGTCCACCTTTCCTAATTGGCTGGCATAGATCATTGAATTCAACATAGTATTGGACGCCATTATTACTCCAAACGTCAAATGACAGAATTATACCACTTACTAATGTAGTATTACCATTGGCATTTGATTTAAATACAAAAAGTAAGGTAAAAGAAATAATTAGTTTAAAAAATTAAAGTACTAATTTAAATGGGAAATTTTTACCTATGGTTAGAACCTCCGCCTTGTCGTCAAAATCTATGTCTAGAGGCCAATCCGGAAGTGCTCTTGGTCGTAAGGACTTAGACTGTTTCGGGATCTTTTCTGATTCTTTTCCACTTTTTTGTTGTTCTTGATTAGTCTGTGGAGCTGTTGCTGAAGTTTTAACAGAACCAGTCTCAAGGTTTTGAATTCCTCTTCTCATAGGTTGCTCGAGAGGTTTATGAGAAGTAGAAAGGGAGTTCAATGATGAGTCTGGTCTACTTGATTGTGGAATATTAGGTGGGATATTAGGTGAGACTTTTGCTGGATATTTTTTCTGATAACCTGATGTAGCAGCTTCTTTGACTGAATTCGATGTTGAACCAGGAGGGTTTTTCCAAATGGATCCTACGTACACTATTAGGTGGTTGCTGGTCAGATTTTGTAGTGGTAATGGGTGGAGAAAAAGGTCCCCATTTGTCATCCTTAAGTACCTCAGTATGTGGTGACTTAGTACATTGTTTTTTGATGGGTTGTGAAACAACTTCAGTAGTAGATGAAGTATGTGCATTAGTTGTAATTGGTGACTGTGCTGACAGTGGATCATGTGACTTAGCTGCGGTCCCTTGCTCTCTTGCTTCGATAAGTCATCTTTTACCTGATGAAACCATAAGGTAAGCTACTTTAGTATGTCAACACTAATATAAAGACAAGACATAAACTAAAATACAAAATAAATTGATATAAAGATCTAAACTATATATCTAAACTGTACAGTTCTGAACTATAATCACAATATCACATTTATAGTGGGTTCATTATAAACAGCAACAGCACTTAGTTCAACAGCACACACACACACACACACACACACAATCTTTACAGCAAATGAAGTTGAAAAAGCCATTAAACAGCCGATAGAGAACCTAGCATAAGAGCAATTAGTAACATCATGCAATGTTCTAGCAAAAGTAGCAATGTTCTAGCAAAAGTAACATAGTAACAACAGGAGATACTTCTGATTGGTCGAATAAAGACTGAAATCAGAGCTGAAATACAGAATTTAATTCAGATCTGAATACCAGAATTGAATTTAGAGTCGAAATCAGAACTGAAAATGTAGTGAATATTTGATAATCAGAACTGAAAATGTAGTCGAAATCAGCCATCCCGCATGCAACTGATTAATATTTGATAATTATGTTAAATGAGTACTGCCCTTGATACCTGTCACATGTGAGGCTTCTTTCACCTCAACCTCAGACCTTGCTACTAGCAGGGTCCTTGTTGGTGTTGAAATAAGGAAAGCTGACTCATCCAAAAAGTAACTATTCCCCAACAGAGCAAACAAAAGTAGCGGCAAATTTGTTTATATTCATATGATGGATTTTTGTCAAAGTCCAATAACTAACTAAATTTGTTTTTGTGAAGCATCACACTGCATGTCTCTTTGGTATTGGAAAATTCTAACTGTATTTATTAAAAGTTAAATGTTTGTAACATAGGGTGATGGGAAGTCTAATGGTGATTATTCATGTACAGCTAAACTAAACATCTAAACTGAAATACAAAATAAGAACAACAAAAATCAATGCATTAGAGTAGAAATAACAAGAAATAAATTTGACCAAAAAGACAAAATCTAATGTTCAGAGCTGCAATTCAGAACTGAATTCAGTTCTAGATTTAGTTTGGAATTCAGTTCTAGAGTTTAATTCTGAATTCAGTTCTGAAATTCAGATCTGAATTCAGTTCTGGAATTCAGTTCTGATTTCGACTCTGAATTCAGTTCTGGTGTTCAGATATTAATAAAAATCTGTATTTCAGCTCTGATTTCAGTTTTTATTCGACCAATAAGAAACCAAGACAATAATACTACTTAGTACCATAAAAACAGAAATTAAGTTAACAAAATGAAAACTTTGATGAATTAGAATAACTAAATGAAATATAAAAATACACACCCATCTAAATTTATGAACTCAAATCTGTAATAAATCATAAAAGTTGTAAACAAATTATTCAGGTATATCAAACAAGTCCCTAGGCTTAGTTTTCACAACATGACACCACCCTTTTTGTATCTTATCCTCAATATAAAAAACTTGTTTTGCTTGAGATGAGAAAACAAATGGATTTGAAGGAGTTATGTCTTCGATAAGTGCAATTACTAGATATATCAAGGATCACTATTATGGAGATAATAAGTTCGTTCTCTTGGGGCGTCATCATCTGTTGCTAGACTATGAGAGATGACCTTTGGACTAGTCAAATAGTCTAAAGCCCGCTAGAATGGATCCTATGAGGTCACACACAAGGGTCTTGGGTTAAGCAAGTTAGAGGCCCATTAATGGGCCTCATGAGCAATTAACTAATCATGAAATGGATTGGGCGAGCATAGTTAGATTGGAATTAAGTTTTGAGATTTTGACATGGGCTCTTATTTAGAGATGAGATCTATAAATAAGATCCATGCCTAGGGTTGCATGAAAGCAGTCATAATTCACACACAGCGTATTTTGACATCAAGGCAACCAATCCCAAAGACCCTAATTCCTCTCTCTAACTCACGGCTTTCTCTCTCCTCCCCTCGTCCGTACGGCCGGCCACCTTGGTGGCGCGTGTGGTGGTTCGTGATGGTTCATGGTGGTTTGTTGCTCGCACTTCTCCATATAAGGTCAATTGAAGGGTTCAATTGCAACTAACTAGTATTAGTGGAGGTCTTAATCTATGCCCGTGGACCAAGTAGAGGAATCACGCTTGAGGTTCTTTATCTCCCATTGTTCTTGTTCGATCGCACGTGGAATCACGCTTCAAAGGTACGATTATATGTTCTTTATGTGTTATGCATTAGATCTTGGGATTAGGTACTATATGAATATGATTCATGTTTTTCCGCTGCATAGTACCTATAAACCCCTACAGTGGTATCAGTTTGCCTATTGCATTTACGCATATTGACTATAATTCTTTGATAGTCCACAATTTTAATTCAATTAAGAGGGAGATTAATTTAATTATGGTTTAATTATTATTTTAATGTGATTAAACTTTTGGAATCGATTAAATGTGATTTAATTATGCTCAAATAGCCATGAAGATGACCGTTTTAAGCCCTAATATGTTCGAAAATTTCGAACCCCCTAACCCTAAATTTCGAATTTTTCAAAAATCCTAGCGCTAAAAATATGATTTTTGTGCTTGATTTTGATTTAATTTGGTTTATTTTATGATTCATAATTTTAATAGGATTGATTTATGCATAAAAATGTTTTATGTATGATGATCAATTTAACTTTAAAAGTTAAAATTAAATTGGGATTAATTTTATGATGAACCCTAATTTTAAGATTGAATGTTGATTTAATTTTAATTTTTGGACTGATTTGATTTAATTTTAATAAATGTTATTTTAATTAAATTGAAAACAAAAAAAAAGGTTTTAAGGCCGGCAGCCGCGGCGGCTTCCGACTTGGTGGCAGTCCAAGAGGGAGGGAGGGGAGGGGAGGGCGGCGGTCCAAGGTGGATGTGGGCAGCAACGTGCAAGCGTTGCACGGCTGCTGCCACGCTGCTGCCCTTGCGGCAGTGGCTGCTGTTGGCAGCCAGCCACCATGGCTAGCTTCGGCTGGCCAACCACGGTGGCCGGTGTGGTGATACACAATTTTCAAAAAAAAAAAAATTTAATTATTATTATTATTATTTTATTTTAAAAATATTTCAAGATAAATATGATTTATTTTGGATGAGATAAAATATTTTGAAAATATGATCTTTTATTTTTAAAAGATAAAATTGGTTTTATTTGAATAAAATATTTTATTTTAGGCTAAAATCAAATATTCAAAAGTTGTTATATTTGATATTATCCATATTTAAAGTTGTTAAATTGGTAATTATCCATAATTAAAGTGGTTAATTTTGGATAAGATTTGTTAGGATATTCTGAGCATATTCCAAACGGATAATAATTGATTTAAATAATGTGATTATCCCATAATTAATATTGGATATAATTGATTTAAAATTTTGTGATTGGCTAGTAATTAGGATAGAATTTCATAACTTTGTTAGGATAATCTTTGAGGATAAATATGATTTATCTTTAAGATTAAAATAAGATTTGATTCTATCTCATGACTAATTTAGAATATATGATATTTTATAATTGGTTATGAATAATATATGATATTATCTAATTACAGTAATTAATTAAATATGAGATATTTAGGAGCCATGTTTCCTTCACTGTGAACATTCGATGTTGTAGTTTAGGAAAGCATGATGAGTGATTTATTATATGGCATTTTATAATATATGATGTTATATATTGCTATATAGACTAGTATGGCCCATAGATTCTAAATACGATATGCGCATCGTTTCGTATTTTTGTAATCTAAATAC